ATTAACTGCTGGGCACAAAGATCCTGTGATGGCCTAAATAATGGAATATAAAAATCCAACAATATATTTTCATTTCATGAAGCAATCATTTTAATGTAGTTTACTTTTACTGTGTCGGCTTTAAAGCCTACCAACTGGCCAATAACTAATAACTAGTTTCATGATAGAAGCAAGACCACCACTTCTCTGCATGGATCCAACAAAAGAAATAGGCATGCAGGTTCTACATGCAATGGTCGAACTCATCAGATCCTGCTGCCAATATAGCTGTGTCTAAAGAATAGGTTATTTATACAACACAAATAATTAATAACACTTGAACAATGGACAAAATATTGAATGAAAGGCTGCACTTCAAAGTCAAACTGAGTTATGTCACCTGGACCTTGATGTTCAACAATAAGTTAGTATAAAGTACTCGATCATGCTAATCTCTACAACAAAGATGCGACCAGTAAAGCTTCCCTTGAAAAGAGCATCCATCTCCCTCCTAAAGCTACCTGAAAGCAAAAGATTCAACCAGCGTTCAAAATGACCCCAGGATACTGAAACCTACATTTAAAGAGCATTGTTATATCATCTGGGCTCATATTCCTAGGTTTTGGGCTATGTGCTGTACATGTCAAACCCAACAAGCTGCTGAAAAACTGAAAACAGCATTGTATATAATATATCTCACCCTCAAAATATGTAATCCTTAGGAGTCTTTATGTAAAGGTCATCAGATCTGGGAGTTATTATGCAGGTAGATCATCAAGCTAGAGCTCTGGGTAATTTCTGTGGATTAAGACTTTCTCAATAAATCACTAATCTGCATCTCTGTTGTGTAGGCTGGCAGGTGTGAGGAAGATCTACAATGCAACATGAGATGGCAGGATTTTCTTCCTCAGGCAGAAAGAGAGGAGGGAACTGGGTTCTGTTAGAGGATGCCCTGATGCCTTTATCAAGAGGACAGGGACATATCAAAAAGCATTTCTTTTTTGCTGCACTCACTGGCCAAATGTGAGCCAGCTGAGAATCTCAGAGTAGGGGCTGTAGTGAGATCCATAGAAATTATGTAATGTGTTTTTATGCCTGATGTTGGTCTAGATGAAAAGAAACACAGCCACCTCGCCATCTTCTACCACATGCTCTGTAACGGTTCCATTACGAGATTCATGAAGTTGATTCTCATTTCAAACTGCTGAGCTCTGCCAAAGACTCTGTCTCTGTTCAGTCTGTTATGCAACACCCACACTGTACATGCAAATCCACCAACACAAATGACTAGCAACCTCGTTGTTGTCATGGAGACGGTGCAAGATAATATTCATCGACTTCAGGGACATAATGAGGGTGTGTAATGTCAACAGAGCGAAGGCATTGTAATACCCAACTCTGACATGTTAAGCTGAGCTGAAGCCTGTCACCCTGGTCCTGGGGATCAGCACAGGCCATGAACGCTAAAAGAGAAAAAGTTCAGGTGTGGGTCACTGTGGAGATTTTCTTGTGTGAAGGGACAAGTCCATGATACCTCCACACTAATTGCCTTGATGGAGCTCATTGGGCAACAGTCAGCTGGGCCTTGGCATTGTATGGGGAGAGGCAAGCAAGAGAGAATGACTTGAGGGGAGGGGTTTAGGTGACAGCTGAGGAATGTCTGCTCTGCTCTTTCTTTGCCATGGTTTCCAGCGACTGTCATGCAAGGAATGCACAGGCCAGGACGACAGGACTTGGAATGTTACCCTCTGAGACGAGTTTAGCCGACGAGCTCGGGAATGTCCACTTGGTCCCCTCGTTCACTTGTACATCCTCTGTACTGTCCACTTGAATTCATGCGATCTGCGTTTGGGCGAACCAATCTGTCTCAGTCAATCACATCGCGAAATGGAAATGTGGATGTGAAACTACAAATTCCATACAAAGTTGTACTCTCCACTCTGGTGTTCTTGTAAGTATCAAAAACTGGAAAATACCCGATCATCATTGGTAATTCTCTAAACCTCATCCTCAACAAAGTCCACACGTGCAAGACGGCCGGTTATGGTCTTCGTCTTGAATCACGTCACACAGACAACATCATGTTATCATTAAGAGAAGAGGTTTACTGGTCCTTTCGCAACAAGTCATTTTTAAAGTGACAGACGGTCCATGACTCACATAAAGACCCGACCTCTAGCCTAATGTGAGATTAGGCCAGAGCTGTACTACAAAGCAGAGTTACAGACCCTGAGTCATACCCAAACTTAGTATCATCTCCTAAAACCCCGTTAGGAGAACTTGTGGCTGTGGTATTTATAACCCTCCACCGGTCACCAGCATTGGGAGTGATATTGCTGCACCCAGTGAGGAGTGAGCACCTCATGTAACAACATGACACACTACACAACAAAGCTAGAGGTCAGTGGAGTTTACTGCACACAATTTCTAGTGATGTATGCTTTTTCTAATGCAAAACTTGTTTCACAAAATCATGCCATGTTATGCTCTGCAGTTTACTGCATAAAACCAACACCGAAAGCATGACAAAGGCATCATGAAAGACACAAGATGACTTACTGTCCATCTCTTCTTCACATCATGTTAAACAAATCTGGAATTAGCAATTCAAACATAACTCACTGTATCACCTTCTTCCACTCCTTTACTTGATCCCAAAATCCCAGGATCTCATGCAATACACACAAATACAGTTGCAGCAGTCTCTCCTCTCCAGAGATGGTTAGGTCTGGAGAGCGGCACTGCAAATTCTTTCCTCACTCAAGCTCATCCCTGGACATCAGCCCAATTAAAGGCAACATTTCCACCCAATGAGTTTGAACAGGGGGGCATGCTAATTCCAGATTTAATTATAGCAGATTCTGAGCGCAACTAATAGTTGACTTAACAACACCATTAATAAAGACAGAGACAAAATTCACACAAATAAAAATCAATCAATCATCTTAATATAAAGCTAATAATCTATCTACGAAAACTTGCTTTTAAAACTTTTAATAGGTGTAACAAAGTCTTGGACGAACAGACCATGCAGCAAGGTTGTGCAGTACTCAGGCTTACTAAGACTAGACATGTGGGCATGAGTAATGAGGTGACATCACTGGAAATCTATGCGACCATTAAACATTTTATACAAGAATTCCTTCATTAATTCTTAGAACATTTAAGCACTTGCTATCCAAACAAACAGGTGGAGAAAGCATCCTTGCTGATGCAATGAATGAAAATTCATGAAATGTATAAATGCTTATTTCCACCAGCAAACACTGGAACTATTGTTCATGATAAAGTACCTGTTGCCCTAGAGGTCTGAGGTACATACAAATAACTGTAATGTCCTGGGTACATATCCAGAATGGACCTCAAATTCCATTCTTTAATGTTTACTACTTATCAAATACAGCAATTCCATGAGTATTAAAGACTGAAAAGAAGTCTGTTATTAATCTACAGCAGCTGATAGTGTTAACATAATGTAATTCATTTGCATTAGCAACAAATGTCATAGATGCAATAACTTTCTGTCTGAAATGAGCCCTATTGATATCTTCCAGGTATTATTTGTTTAACACTAAATGACAAAGAGATGAGGTTATATCTGGAGCACAGTAGAGAATGAAGAGAGTAGTAGTAATACAAATTTAACTTATAAACGATACTTATGTAAGCACAAATAACAATTAAGTAGTTCGAAACCAAAATTTCAGCAACAATCTGATGTATGTAAGAGTACACATCATTAAATCCAACTTGTCCATGTCAGTGCTCTCCTTTCGCTAACTGCACCTACTAGCTACCTTACGATTTTAATAACTGGACTGGTGAACATTGTAAATCAGACATCTGCCGTGCTTGGTTTCAAAAACCCTCATACATTTAAAAAAAGGTTGCATTTGACGTGATTAACGACAGCCAACACGGGCTGCCATTTTCATTATTTGGTTAGAAAGCACAGAGGCTAGTAACGTTAAACGTAGCTGCCGTGGTTAGCGGGCAAATAATTAGCTTAGCACTGCTGACATGTCAGCCAAATAGAAAAGTAAATGGCACACTTATGTTTGTTATTAAAACCAAAAACGTCAAATTCAGGGGCAATAAGGTATCCGCTGACGTAGTCTCTCAAGCTAGCTAACGAATGAATTAAAAACAGCTAACGATGGCTAGCCTGTCCTGCAAATGTAGCGTTAGCATACATTCCTCACGGCTAACACAGCACTTAAATAATTTACCACTGTACCACATTTGAACTTATATGCCAAACACTGTTGTCAATAATGTGAATGTTACGTAAATGTGGTATACAGTTAAGGCCTTGCAAGGACATGATTAGCCTTCAACTGAATGACGACATGCATTAACACCAGCTAGCTTCGGCTTCCCCTCCAGAGAGTAGTCGCAGTCGCGGTGGAGGGTTTATCAACAAAACGACTTATCCTGCTAGCCAGGTTGTAGCCACCGTTGTGGGATTCATTTTTTGCCTGGTTGAGTGTCTCAATCAATGGCAACATTTACGTTAAACTCCTAGCATAACTCGATCGTTGCACCCGACATTAGCTTTATCCAACAATATCGCTGAACCATAAACACTGATGTTTGTTCGACTTCAATGTAATTTACAACAACCCGACGTTATAATCTGAAATGCAGCAGTACAGCAATTAGACTGCGCCCACGACTGAGGCTATGGACTCAAGGCTAGTTTACTGGGGCAAAAAGTAGCCCAGAGAGTAAGTTAAAAGCTTTTTAACTTTGTTGTTTATGGTGGCTTCAACCTTGAGCGCTGCATGCAAAGTTAGCACTGTATTCCTGAACCAAGCCAGTGTGTTCATCTCTATCGTTAACTCTGCGTCGAATAGGACGGGTGTGCTAACGTTGGGTAGGTAAACAACGGGATGAGAATGGCTTCCATTTGACAGGTGTTCCAGGGCAAGCAGTTGCTAGCATAAAGCCTTATATTTGTGTCTAATGCTGCTTTAAGTGTCAGCGACTGGCGGTAACACACATAGCAAGCTAACACAAACCTGGTGGAGGGCGGTGAGACCGTCAACATTGGCGTAGTTGATGTCAGCGCCCCGGTCAAGCATTCGGAGCACCTCCTCGGTATCGCCGCTTGAGCAGGCGGCCAGAAACACGGCGCCATCATCGAACTTCACCTTCGTCTTCTTCTTTTTCAGAATAGGAGGCTCCAGGTCCGTTTCCGAGCCCAGCCAGCGCTTTAACTGTTCATTCCTCTTCTGCTTGGCGTCCGCCATCTTCATCCCCCTCCTGTCTCGGGCTTCTTATCTTTCTCCGAGAGAGGATATACTTTATAGTGCCACTATCCCACAGCGCACTGGGGCGTGGGAAGGGAGGGCTGGGGAGGAGAAGGAGGAGGAGGAGGGGGGAGCCGAGCAAGCGAGCGAGAGAGAGAGAGAGAGAGGGCGTCTGGATTGTTTTCCATAACCTCGCGAGAGCTGGAGCTCAGGAGCTGCAGTATAACGTCATCATCTACGGATTATGAGGGGAGAGTGAGCTGGGTAATCCCTTATAGATTGTGTACAGCAAATAAGACAAGTGTACTTGAAAATATTACATAACATTCAGATAGCTCACAAGCATTTCAGAGAAAGAAGAACTGCTACATACAGCAGCAAGTATTTGTCCTATCTCTGCTCCATTTAATATGGTATAAAAAATGTTTATTGTGATATTACTGAATAGAAGTCACAGCCCACGCTAAATTAAACCAAATAATTTATCACTACATCAGTGTATGTATCTTAAGCTACAAATATTAGCAAGCTATTTTTAAAACTAATATAGGGCATTCACTAATTCACTAAATCTCACGGTCCAATTTACAAAAAATACACATTTCATAGCCTTTCTCAGAAGTTGCTCAGTAGTCATGGAAATGGTTCAGTTGTTGAAGATGTTGGACCAAATGTGTTTTTGTCAAGCTTCTCTTTCCACTTTCAACTATGAACATTGAAGCTCAATATGACGAATACTCAACTCTTCCATAACCACTGAAATATATAAAGTGAAGACAAAATAAGCTCTCAAACTATAAAGTGCTCAAAGGCATTATATATTTATTGTTGTTTGTTTTTTTTGTGATCATTATAGAGTTATTATTTCCACCCCCTGAGTTGGAGTTAAGAAAGATATCAAGTTTTCAAACCAAAGTTTACTAATAATTAGAATATATTAACCTATCTGCAAAGTCCTATTATCAACCATGCAGTGTCTTGTGAATTTGTTCTAAATCATGTGTCAGTCAACAAAACTATTCAGCAACAAAAAAACAACAACAGAAAATCAGGCACTGTATGACAATATTAGGCATAGGGTGTTTTAAGGAAAACTACTCCAAAGAGAGACAAAAAAGGAAAACCATGTAGATAAAATAATGAATGGTAACACTCTACAAAAGTTAAATGGAGTATGAGGCCATTCATACATTACCTAAAGCACACACCCACCTGTATGTCCACCTGGTTATCCTGTGCCAGCAAAGGAACTTGCTAACTCTATGGAACTCTTCAGTTTCCCAATGGGCCGGATCCAGTGATGCCCATGCTTCTGTACTTAACTGTGTATTTTCCACAGGTGGATAGTAAAAACCAAACATTATTAATATGACTATTGACAAATCAAAACTGTATTCCCATAATTTATTGCTGTTCTCATGCTGTTTTCCCATTCTTTCTGTAGTTTTCCAAGCTTATAGAGTTGAGGTGCATTTCTCTTCTATTTAAGTGCCTTTTTAAAAGATTGTATTATCACTTGTAGTGATTCATACAGAGGTGACCTTTACTTTTCACTTCAGGAAATGTCATTTAGTCATGCGAACTAAACAAACTTTCATTTTAGAGGGTTTTCCCCTTTCTTCCATAAATGAACACAACAAATGAAAATGTTAATCCAACCGTTCCATGTGTGACATATTGAGTTTACAACAAATAAAAACACTTGCTCACTGAGGGAAAATAAGATCCGTCTTACCACAAAGTTCCTGTAATGATTTGATGGGTAACACTTGAAGTGCTAGGAATGTCTAGTGGACTCAAGTACCGGGGTGGTCCAACTCAAATCTGGAGTAAAAACAAGGTGGCCAGGCATAAAGTGTTTTTTTTATTTTGGCACTGCCATGTGTTATTGTTGGCAGACACCCATGTGTAATCAGCAGGGGGTGCGGTATTGCCTCCTCGGACGCAAGTTGCGGTTGTGAAGCATGCAGCCACTTTTCACTCTAAGGTGTCATTACAGATGATAATGATGTTATTTTGGGGAAAACGAAAATGATGTTGCTTTTGTTTGATTAGATACCACCCACCTCCTGAACATAAAGTTGACATCCTGAATAACAAGCTATTCAAGCAGAATCATGATCCAAAACATTTGTACAACTGTGACCAAGAGCCATTGTGTAAAGTCACGCTACCCCCATTTTCTCATTTCAGAAGAATTCCCCTTGTCACTGAATGTGGACAGATTTAAATAATTTATTGTCTGCAAATGCAGTAAATGAGACTTGGGCTGCGGCACACAGGACTCTGAGCCAGAACATGGAGGTTAAGACGCAGAGAGGACAAGCAGCTCAGCTGATACGATCATTAATGTTACAGAAATGTCATGGGAAATTGCTGTGCTTCTACTGAGTCATAGGAATGGTGGAACACCAACAGCGTCAGTGTCAGGAAGTTGTTGGCCAGAGGCTTCAGTGTGCTGATATAAGGATGGTTGGAGGGAAAGTGATGTGTAAGCTGCTGTTCGGTGGGGAGGGCCGACCTTACAGTGACTGACAGCACAAGGAGAGCCATGTGGTCCACATCCAGCGTTGAACGTAATGACCGTGTACCGTGTGTAGGTCTTTGTGTATCTGTGGGATACACAAAAGAGTTTTAGAGCCACCAACTGTGTTATTACTTGCAGCACAAACAGCCAAAAGATGGGCTTATTTGACAGTTTTATTCAGATGTTTCTAAAGGTAGTTTTAAAAAACATTTCATTTTCATATTCATTTGATTCTCAGGCTGTTTATTATTTAACTTTTCAATGTTCTACCCTTGTGTAAAAGAAATCATGTTACATGTACGTAATGTAACTTTTACATTTCAGCAAAGTCAAATATGAATGCTACAGACATGAGATCATGTGCAATCAAATGTGTAGCTCCGGGCCAAAAATGACAAGATGCAAAAAAGTGTAGGGATTTAAATATTTTCTATAGGTGTTGTGCATTTTTAACCTTGACCTGAAACTTGTCAACGTATATCAGTATACAGGGATGGGCAAAGATACAGCAAAATGTATCTTGTTACAAAATACCCCTTAAATAAATATAAAATACTGATGCCAGAAAATGTTTCCAGATCAAATACATGTATTTAGTATTTTCAAAATACAGGAAAATACAAATGTGACATTGGACATTTTGAATTTGTATAAACTTGCAGAACATTCAGATTTTATGATGCACGCAAGGTTCTGGTGAGGTCAAAGTTAAGTAAGCTAAGCAAAACTGTAAAAACAACAACAACAAAAATAATGAAAATAGTCTTGCACAGTATGAAGACATCAGTTCTCTGTCCAATTCAAAGACAGGGTAGCCACTTTAATCAGTAACCGGTTAGGTTGCCTTTAAGAACAAGCTAACTTTTAAAAGTTTCTGGTGTTAACCACCTCCTGTATGGATGGAATATTATCCCTGCAGTCTCTCAAATGGAGCTGAAGATAATAGTGTTGTGTTAAATCAAACAAGAAAGAGCTTGGTCAGTGTGTAAACTTATGGGTATCATGCACGGTCCAGCCAGGTTTTGACCTAGTCTTGTTTTTTATGTTTTATGAATCATGGGAAAAGTATTTTGAAAATACCAATTACAAAATACTTAAAATTTATCGAAATACGTATTTCAAATCGGCTACAAGTAACAGAAATACTGCCCATCTCTGTCTGCTTTCTCCACTTAACACAGTAACAAACATCTTGAATGTACAGTAATGCATCCTGTTTATGTATCCATCCCGTACCCCCTCAGCAGCTGTATTTATCTCAATGATGTCAGTGATGACGTACTGAACATTATGGCTTGTTTTTGTGAACATATTAGTAATTAGACATTTATTATTTATTTATTTTTATTTATTGACTAACCTGACGATGAATGTGTTTATCATGAAATTGTCAGTAAAACTGCTTTTGCCACAATGTTGGCTTCCTGCAGAAAAATGAAATCATTGCAAATAACTGTTGTTAATTCATGTGATGCCAGAGGGTGTCATAGGATTGGAAATACATTATACAACATCAGAGAAAAAGTATTTGTCAGCATCACCTCTGACAGACAGTTGTGACTATTAAGGCGGTCCTGCAGCATGTGTGTCAAGAGTCTTTTAGACAAACTCCTGTCTTTCATTATCCTTCGCTTTGATCTGTTTGCTGTTGTTCTGGTTCCTTGAAAGAATTAAAGTGTCTGAGGATGACTCAAGTGTATCAATACCACAAAATTACACTGGCGCACTCTCACTGTTTTTCTTTAGCCGCTGAGACTTGCATGAGTGACGTGATTAAAACCCACCGACAGACCTAAAAGTAATGTCATTGTAGGCGTGTTGTCAGTGCTGTGACATCACTGTCAGAGCCTTCAGCACCTATGACTGATCCCCCCGAGGAAGCTTGTGTTTACTGCTTGGGACTGTTCTCTGGTGTGGTTTATGAAACCAGATGAGGTGTCCAAGTCAAGTGTTCCGGAAAGACATCTGGAAAGGGATAGGGATTTGGCTGTTTGATTGTGTGTGTGATTCTAGAGATGATAGAGTTTTTGATTGGGTATTATCTCATATCTGTACATTAAATATACAGACAGACTGGAAACAGGTGGAAACAGCTAACCTAGCTTTGTTCAAAGGTAACAAAATCGACCTCCTAGGTCTTCTAGACCTGCTGTTTTCCTGTTTTCAGTCTTTATGCTATGTTTAGCTAACTGGCTTCTGGTTGTAGCAGTCTCTTAACTGGACAAATAAGAGTGGTATCAATCTTCTCATTTAACTCTTAGCAAGAAAGCAAATAAGTGATTTTCCCAAAATGTCAAACTACTTAAAATATTAAATATTTTCTTCCTCTGTAGCATTACTGTTTGATGTTTGTTTTAAATTGTTTGAATTGTGGAGCCCTTGTAACATGCAATAAAAATAAATTTTTTCTTACTAAAGCTGTGGTCAAATTTTAGTAGTGTAGCTTTTAGTGGTGTTCAGTTTGTGCAAATATGTACTTTAAAATATGCTATTCCAGCTTGCTAATAAAGGATAATAAAGTTTCAGGTTCAATCTGTATCTTGTATCTTGTATCTTGGTAATTGCCTTT